TCAGCTGAACTGCAACTTCTAGGCTGCATTTTCCCAAGGATGACAATTCCAAGAATCTCACTCATGCCTTCATTCAGATCTAGCACATTCCAAAGCTAAATGCAGGCTGGGTGTGGTGGCTCATGCCTGTAATTCCAGCACTTTGGGAGGATAAGGCAGGCAGATCGCTTGAGCTCAGGAGTTTGAGACCAGCCTGGGCAATATAGTGAAGCCTCGTCTCTACAAAAAGTACACAAAAATTAGCTGGGGATGGTGGTGCATGCCCGCAGTCCCAGCTACTTGGGAGGCTGAGACAGGAGGATGGCTTGGGCCCCAGAAGCAGTGAGCCAAGACTGCACCTCTGCATTCCAGGTTGGGTGACACAGCCAGACTATCTCAAAAGAAACAACAAAAAAAAGTGAAAGCTAAATGCAAATGATTTCTGAATTATCCACATACGTTGTTCCCACCCAAATCCAAAGGATGAAAAGTTAGCCACAACAATGTATACTTGTTCATATACTTTTATGCAAACATTTCCAATGCATTTTTTTTTTCAAGGAGTCTTGCTCTGTTGCCCAGGCTGCAGTGCAGTGGTGTGATCTCAGTTCACTGCAACCTCTGCCTCCTGGGTTCAAGCAATTCTCCTGCCTCAGCCACCTGAGTAGTTGGGATTACAGGCATACACCATCACACCTGACTAATTTTTGTATTTTTAATAGAGACAGGGTTTCACCATGTTGGCCAGGCTGGTCTTGAACTCCTAACCTCATGATCTGCCTGCCTTGGCCTCCCAACGTGGTGAAATTACAGGCATGAGTCACCACGCCTGGCCCCAGTGCATTTTTTAAAAAACAAATGCATCCACTCCACTGCCTTCAATCTGACTGGGAATAGCCTAGGGCATAGACTAGATTTTGTGTTTTATTTTTATTTCTCTACTGACTTTTGTATAACGCCATGCTCAAATAGCTTCCTAGTCAGCTGAATGTCCCTTTCTCACACAAACCCAGTTTCCAACCGTATCTGGTGTCTGTCTTTCTTTTTTCTGAGACAGACTCTTGCTCTGTCACCTAGACTGGAGTGCAGTGGTGTGATCTCGGCTCACTGCAATCTCCGCCTCCTGGGTTCAAGTCATTCTCCTGCCTCAGCCTCCTGAGTAGTTGGGATTACAGGCGCTCGTCACCATGCCTGGATAATTTTTGTATTTTTAGTAGAGATGGGGTTTCACCATGTTGCCCAGGCTGGTCTTGAACTCCTG